TGTTTTGGGCATCCTCTGTGCAATTTGCAATGTCTGTTGTGGTTGTTCTTCAGTCCATGCTTAGGCCGTCATTGTGGGGGGACTTTATGGGTGTAGCTTCTGACATTCTTAGGAGACAGTCTCACAGCCAACTCCATGATTTCTGGTTCTAACAATCTTTCTGTCCCCTCTTCCACTATGTTCATTGTGTCTATGTGACTGGGCTCCACCATGCTGCACTTTTGTTAGTTGTGCTATTCTTTAATGGTCTCTGCCTGTTGTTAAAAGAAGTTTCTGTGATGATGCATGAGGACTGCACATCTGTGGGTTTAACGATAATATTTGGAATGTACTTAGGGGGTACGCTGTCTAGGTAAAGTGGCAGTTACTGGTTCTCCAGATTCCATTACTGTATCTACCCCTGGGTAGTTGGCATTGTTTCCTGTACCAGCTCTGATCTCCTCTTTCTTTTTTAAAGATTTTATTTATTTATTATGTATACAGTCTTCTGCCTGCATGCCAGCAGAGGACACCAGATCTCATTCAAGGTGGTTGTGAGCCACCATGTGGATACTGGGAATTGAACTCATGACCTCTGGAAGAACAGTCAGTGCTCTTAACCACTGAGCTATCTCTCCAGCCCTGATTTCCTCTTTCTTGAGCATGGTTTAAGTCTGACTACTGCTCTGTAAGTTACCATTAAAGTATGTACTCTTAGTGTTTTCTTACCATGCTAGGCATTGCAATAGCATGTATCTACCCAGCATTCTCTCACAATGCATCCCACATAAGGAAGGCTCTGAGCCACTGAGAAGAAAGCCCCAGGGGTGATTCTCTGTCTTGTCCTGAAATACAACTCTAGAAGTTCTCTGTTGGCCATGCAGCTTCTTGGGCTCTGAGGTAAACATGCAGATTTTACCAGGCCTTGAACAAAGTATAACAGTGTCTTGCACATGGGCGTAGGCCACATCATAATTGAAATTTTTAAATGGTGAGAACTTCTTCCCCAAATTCACCTTAATGATGCTTTTATTTTATGGAATGAATGGATCTGCAAGGACATGACCAAAATTAGTGCCAAAATGTGTTGAGAATGCAGGAATACCAGAGTGGGTTTTGTGTGGCTGGAGAGATGGCTCAGCAGTTGTGGTCAGTAGCTTCTCTTTCAAAGGACCTGGACATCCATATGGAGGGGATTCCATCCACCTGAAATTCCAGTTAGAGAGCATGCCTCTCCCTATTCTGGACTGCATAGGCACTTAAGTATTCATTATGCACATAGCATGTACTCAGGCACACATAAATGAATCAATCTGTTTTGTTTGTCTATTTGCTTGTTTTTTTTGTTGTTTGTTTGTTTTAGAGACAGGGTTTCACTGTGTGGCATGGCTGTCATGGAACTCAGTCTACAAACCAGAGACCTCATTCCCTTTGACTTCCTTGTGTTGGGATTAAATGCATTAAAACAATACCTACCTGGCCAATAAATATCCCTTTTTTTTCTAAAGGATTGGGCTTCTTTCTTGAGTGGGGATTGTGAGCAGATGGTTATGGAGGCAGTCAAAACATGATAATAAGCATTCATGTGTCAATGAAATTTTGGACAGTCTTGGAACTTTTGAGATATTGTATGTTCTTGGAAAAGAAATTTTTGTCTATGAAACTCAAGTGTGGGAAGGTGGAAATATTTCTGTTATGAAGAACAGTTTTGCCTGCCAAAGGGGCAGTCTGATCAAGAAGTAAACAAATTCCCAATTGGTCCTGTATTATAAATATCTCTAATTTTCAAGGATTCTTCCTCAAGGCCATTCTCACAGCAAGACTATTACCAAGTCTAGGCTGTGTAACTGGGAGGACTGTTGATAGGGTGAATAGCTTTGAGATTGAAGAAAGCACTGCTCTGGGTTGGGGGAGGTAGACTGACTTTGTCACTTGTGGGTCATTGAGCTCTATTCTGAAGGTTTCTTTTCCAGCACTATAGTTCATTAACCTCATTTTGATGTCAGGAGGAACTGAGTCTCATAATCTGTTTTCATTGGCATAATGGTAGTATCTGTGATTCAGTTACTTACAGCGGGAATTTCGGTTTTCTCTATACATCTCTCTTGTAGATGAGATCGAAGTGAAGATAACCAGTGGTAAGCTGAAAAGTATGTGATGGTTTGAGTAAGAATGGCCCCCAAATGCTTGATCCTCAGTAGCTAAACCAGTTTTGGAAGAAGTAGGAGATATGGCCTTGTTGGAGGAGGTATGGGCTTTGAAGTTTCAAGTGCCCACATCATGCCATTCCTGCTCTCTCTCTCTCTCTCTCTCTCTCTCTCTCTCTCTCTCTCTCTCTCT